AGTTGAAGAATGAACTTAGCAAACATCCAAGGTAGGAGAGCCAGGGAGAGGCTTTTATTGAGAAATACAGTGAGAGGACAGAGCTCCTGGCATGAGCCAGGAGGGGACAAGAGACCCCGTAGTGGTGCATTGTCTAGGGGATTTACAGGAAGTTGAAGATTTTTGGGAATGTGAAAAAAAGCTTAGGGGTGTGGACTTGTTAAGTAGTCCCTGAATATTTAGAATTAACAACACATGGAACTTCTGCTCTGATGATTTCTCCTTGGGATTCCAGCATCTTGGTCTGGGAACATATCAAACAAGGCCATATGCCCAGCCCCCAAGGTGGGCTGAGTTATTGTCTGTTTGCTAAAGAGTAAGTTAAGAATCTTACTTCTTAAATTCCTGGGTATTAAAATGCAATCTTATCTTTAAGGTGGAATCCTTCCTGCCTTTTACTATGTTGTTTATGGCTGGGCCTGCCTGCTAAATTAGTTGCCCAGTTTGCAAATCACCTCATCAGGTCTGAAGGAGGAAAGACAGCACACAGGCCTGGGCCTTTTAGCATGCTAAAGTGAATCTTACACATGATCATAAATGATTAGCATAATAAAAACATGTGCTACTGTCCTTTTTCTGGGAAATATTAACTGATGTCACTGAAGAATGACTCTAGAGCTTAATGTTTAACACAGTTTTAGTAGCAGGTTTCCTTACATGTAGTTATATTGCTTTGACTGCAAATATCCTACCTTGCTTTTTCCGGAGGCCCTCACCCTACTCTGACTACACCCCACGGTCCCTGTCTCAGTCTCAGGTCTTCTCTCAGCTTCTATGTGAAGGTGAAATGCCAAGACAGAGCATCTGCTCAAAGTTGGGTGGAACGCATCTTTCCACTCCCCTTGGGCCCCCCCCAGCTTGCACAGGCAAGAGGATCCCAGATGAGCCCCCAAATTGTGAGAAACGTACTCACTGGTTCAAACTGAGTCAGAGAACAGTGGAGTGAGGCTTTAGTGACAGCCTTGCAACATCGGGGGTCTGGTGAGTAGCACACTCAGCATGGTCACAACAAGCAATTTATTCCTTGGCACGTGAGCCCCTCCCCTGGTTCCTCACTGACTGAGTACCACAGGGTTCACATTTGTGGGGAACGTGGGGTTCCTATGGCCAGGATCTGCACTGAACTTAAAACATCTGATGATGTAACTGGCCTGTTGCTAGGCTACCACTTCCACACCTGTAGGCAATAAGCTATTATTGCGCTATATAGAGAGGTCGGCCCAGTGCTCTGGGTGGAGGCAGAGATGCTAGTGCTTGACCTACTGCCAGGAGAACAAGCCAGATAATAAACCCTTTAACCCCAAAGAATGTTTTGCGGTCAATTTCTTTGGTTACATTGAATCCATAGCGAACTTGCCTTGGGCTGAAACCCATTGGCTTTCTCAGATGTTGCCTACAGAAATTATATCTATATTAGGCTTTTTTTTACATTTGTCTTAATTTCATTGGCTGGTTTAAAGCTTTTTCTGCTTTTTTTTCCCAAAGAGATGCACAGCCCTCACTTTCTTAATCTCCCTCCTCCCCCAGCTGGAGAGACTCCCTGGTACATGTTCGGTCATGTGGGCTTCTTGTTAATATCCTTTTATTTAAACATTATTTCCTCTGGGAATAAATCAAATTTAGTTTTATGTCATTTCTAACACCTCTCCTGCCCATAATGAAAAATGCCAAGATATAAACAGTGTGGTAAGAATGGGAGGCACCCCATCTTAAGGATGAGATTCCATTTCAAAAACTAGGAAGTTAGGAGGTAAGACTCCTAACATATTCTTTGGTAGTCAGCCAACAACCTATATTGAGGCAAGGCAAGCAGTTCTAACTCATATATTCCCACTGCTTGAGGGTAACCACTGTAGGATCTGAAAAATCAAAAGTTAGCATAAGTACAGCCATCTTAAAGGCTTAAATACCACCCCCTAACCTAGAAGGAGGAAAATTATTAGAATCTTGAAAAACAAGTTAGTCAGCCAGTGTTAAATGTAGTGACCTTTAGTTAGCTGACCTCAAATCAGTTAATCATACACACCAAGCTTATCTTGCTAGAACCACCCTAAACATTCCGAAGGTAATCTTATCTAACCAGACCCCAGGATGTGGCCCCAGCCAAAGATTTATGTGTCTATGAAAAAACACTGTATTGTGATTGTGGAAAATGTTGCCCCCTTTGAAAATGCTATAAAACCTTCTGGCTTTGTGTGCTCAGGGTCCTTGTTGAGACCCGCTG